TCCACGCGAACCTGCGACAAAGCGTGGCGGATGGGTGCGTGGCAATAGGTGCGTGGCGGCCGCCTCGGCCGTGGCGTTGAGGCGCGGGTGCGGCGCGGGCTTCGCTTCCGGGGGCAGGCAGGGGTCGCGGGGTCTGGGAAGGGTTGGGGAAGGGTTGGGGAAGGGTTGGGGAAGGGTTGGGGAAGGGGTCGCCTGGTGCTGCGACGAGAGCGAGCGCTTTGCGCGCTCGACCTCGCGGCGCAGCTTCTGGATGGCGCGCTTGTCCTTGGAGGGGTCGGAGCCGTGCTTGCGCTTGAAGACCTTGAGCATGTGCTGGATGATGCGGTTGTCGAAGTCCTCTCCGCCGAGGTGCGTGTCGCCGGACGTGGCGATGACCTCGAACACGCCGTTGTCGATGGTGAGGAGGGAGACGTCAAACGTGCCGCCGCCGAGGTCGAAGACGAGGATGTTCTTCTCGCCAGACTTCTTGTCGAGGCCGTAGGCGATGGCGGCGGCGGTCGGCTCGTTGATGATGCGCATGACGTTGAGGCCCGCGATGGTGCCCGCATCCTTGGTCGCCTGCCGCTGCGCGTCGTTGAAGTAGGCGGGCACGGTGACGACTGCGCACGGTGAGATGTGGCGGGGTCGGCGAGATGTGGCGGGGTCGGCGAGATGTGGCGGGGAGGGGGTAGGGGGGGGGGGATGCGGCGAGATGCGGCGGGGTGCGACGAGGGTGTGGCCGAGTGCGGCTAGGTGTGCGTGTGGCGAGGTGTGGGGCTTGGGCGGGGAGAGGGGCGGGCGGCGCACCGGCGTTCTTGACGTCCTTGCCGAGGAAGGCCTCGGCCGTCTCCTTCATCTTGATGAGGACCATGGCCGAGATCTCCTCGGGGGAGAAGACCTTCTTGGCGCCCGAGACCTCGACCTCGATCATCGGCTTCCCCTCCTTGGCGACCACGCCGAAGGGCCACAGCTTCATGTCGTGCTGCACCGCCGCGTCCGTAAAACGGCGGCCAATCAACCGCTTGGCGTCGTAGACGGTGTTGGAGGGGTTGAGCGAGGCCTGGTTCTTGGCCGCGTCACCAATCAGCCGCTCGGCGTCCGCGAACGCGACGTACGACGGCGTCACGCGGTTACCCTGGTCGTTGGCGATGATCTCAACCTTGCCATTCTTGTAGACGCCGACGCACGAGTCTTTGCAAAGGGCGGCGCAAGCAGGGTGAGAGGGCCGGCGGCGGAGGGAGGAGGCGCGGGCGCGTCGCGTCACGTAAGCGCGGGCGGGCGGACTGGCTGACTGGCGGGCGGAGGGCCGTGGTCCAGTGCCCGCGGGCCGACTTTGACAGCCTCCGCACAGAGCGCGCGCGCAGAGGGCGGCGCGGGCGGTGTGGGGAGACTCACAGGTGGTCCCAAGGTCGATGCCGATGACCGTGTCGACCTAAGGGGGCGGGACGGCGGGCGTCTAGCCGGCTGGCGGGCCACGCGCCGGCGCGCAAGGGGAGGATTCTCTCAGCGCCGCGGGGTGGTGCCCGCTGGCGCGCTCACCTTCTGCTCGCCCTCCTCGGCGAGGCCGAGAGCCAGCAGCAGCGAGAGCGTGAGGATGCGCAGCATGGTGTCCAAGAGCGCCTACTCGCGTGACGGCGCTGCGTCACAGGCAGGGGGTCAACAGGGGCTAGGCGCCACCGCGGGCGCACGTCTCAAGTCGAGAGCCTTGCACAACACGTGTTCGAGGCTCGCGACAAAAAATACCCCTGCTCCTCAAATCCTTGCTGGGTCGCTGTCCCTTGTCAGGAGCAGGAGAACTAGGAGAGCGCAACCAGTAGGAGGCCCGCGCCTGCCCCCGTGCCGCCGAGTGCAACCTGTCCTACACGAGAGAGGAATCCCGGAATCCCTGTGGGACCCTGTCGTGTGTGTGGACCCTGTTTCTTCTGTTTCAGCCCCCCTCCGTGTCGCGATGCGCTCCCCGCTCCCGTTCCCCTGTGTCCCTGATCGTCCTTCTCCAAGATCCTGCTCGTGCAGGTGGGGACCTTGTCCTCCTCCCATCCCTCGTTTGGTTTGTCTGTTCTCTCTCTCTCTCTCTGCACCTTGGCCAATGTTTAGCGTTTAGGCCCAAAAGCCTCTCGAAAGGACAGACCACAGCAAGTCCGTGGCACTGGCAAGAGGTGAAGAGCCACATCGGCGAACACACCTGCTTGGAGCACTTGGAGTGCAGTCGGTAACCTCACATCCACGGATCCAGGGCCGACCTCTGCTGTTGCTTTCATCTCGCGATCTGCCTCTTGCGTCTTGGGTCTTGCCAAGAGCCAAGAGGCAAGACCTTGAAGTGGTCTTGCGTAAGGAGATTGGCCGCCCGATAGTGCGGTCTGTGTGCTGGGGCCTTTTCTAGATTTCTACATCTCTAGCCGCTCCTCACGTCGACGCACGTGTGTGACCAGTGTGGATGACACGTACACGTACCGCGAAGGAGCGAGGCCGGGGGAAACATTTG